AGGTGGCAACTCACCGAGCTATACGTCTTCTCACACCCGAGATGACTAACCAGTAGGGTGTCGTAGGCCTCATAGATGATAGCAGGATGGCTCATCTTGCGGCAGTGCCGGACACCATCGACGGTGTGGGTACAGCGACGCTATTTACGAATCGAGTCGTTTGACAATACGGACTTCCGAAGTCAATTGTCTCATAGAGACCCGCGCTTCACTGGGAGTTTAGACCAATACAAGATTTGTGCCTTTCAGCACCTTTCATACTAAAATTGCCTATTACATGACCTCTCTTTGAAAACCGATACTTCGGTACTAGGTGTGCGGTGGATTTCGCACAAATATACAGTATTGTATTTTGCACAATTGTACAAAAGCGTAAGGTGATTGTACGATTTACACGCACTAACCCTACAGATCGTGACATGTCTACGATCAAAAATAGATTCAGAAGATTCAGAAGAGCATTTTTCATGTTCAAAATCTAGCAGCTAAAAATTTTACTTTGCTTAGCTAAAGGCATCTTCATCCTGAATCTCATGACTGCTTGACTAAAATGTGGATAGCGCGCGTTCCGGCTTCGTGTGCTAGCGTTACTGCCTATTCTGTAATGCACTTGTTTCTGTTCAAATGATACCTACAAGTCTCGGAACGATTTTGCAGGATGTGACAAAATGTTATTAAAACTGTGAAACCTGATATTTCATATGACATGAATGCAAAATCGAAATTTTCAAATCTGCTTGCCAACTTTGTGGACAACATGGTGAATAGCCAGATGTTGGTACACAATCAACAAAAGTGCAGCGGCTGCACAACGTCATCCAAACATCTTGCACACTTTACTCTATTTCTTTCACCCAGATTTAAGAGGCAGTTTTCTAGCAAAAAAAAGTTACGATCAAATTTATGGTAATTTATCTTCCTTGCAAATGCAATAAAACTAAGTCTCTAATTTCGTTCGTCATTGTACAATCGCAAGATCCTGTGTAGAGTGATAAAGTGAGATGCTACAGTAGCGGCTGGGCAGAAGTTTATGCTCACGTTCAAAGAAAAGTCAATAGAGAACCTGGGCTGACTTCCAAATCACCTACTCAAAAATCATGAAGCCTCTACTTTAATGATAAATGTTCTATACATACAAAAGTGCAGGTGTATTCGAGATGGATAGTAACCCAGCACATGCAGAATCAATATCAAAATTGAAAAACCTATGGAAAAGCTGTACACGTTGAGCAATCCCAGCACCTTTGTGGGCTCCGCACGCCTTCACCTTCCTCCTACGTACTCGAATACAACTCCTCCTAAAGACAACGGGTGGAGTTCACCATCGGAATACAGTAGCAGCGAAGGCGTGTCATCGCCGGCGTCTGACGATGTGCCGCCCTCCTTTTTGCCGACCAATTTCGACCACGATTGGGACATCCTGAGTGATATATTAATAAACGATGCACTCAGTGGGCTTCCCCCAGCCTCGACTATTTCATCGGATCATTCGACGCAAAACAATGCTCAAAATGCCTCCTCACCGGCGTCTTCGTCCACTGGGGACCGTCCAGCAGATTACAGTAGTTCGAGCAGCGTCTGTAGCGTGGCAGATGTAGGTTCCGTTGGAACACGTCCAGCTGCAGTACGTCCTTCTGTAGTACGTCCTTCTGTAGTACGTCCTTCTGCAGTAAGTGGAGGAGCAAGGAAAGTAATGAAAGGACGACGACATGCTGCGAGCCATACCGTTAAAAAGGAGTTGCTTACATTGGAGGAGCAAAAGAAGCAACGTCGACGCTCACAAATCGCCTCTAGTGTACAACGACACCGAGAGAAGAAAAAATGTCTTGTCTCGGCACTCCAAGCCGAAATGACGGGGCTCATGCAGCAAGTGACGGCTTTGCGAGCAATGAGACGATCTCAGATGGCCGACAATGATCAGCTCGTGGCGTATCAAGAAGAAGCGATGACACAACGTCGCAAGCGAAGGCAAGCAGAACATACACACCAAGAGTTGAAGCAGGCGTTATTCCATCAAACATCGTTCCTCAATGGATTGCGGTCACTTATGAGTGACGGGAACATGCCTTGTTCCAAGACGCTTGAATTTCATGACTGGGTACATTCGTATACGGCACTGGCGTCGAGAGACATGATTGCCAGAAGAAAAGAATACATAGCTCACTTTCCTAAGAGCAAGATGGACCTTGCGACGAATTTGGTGCTGAAAAACACTTACGTGGAGACTCAACACTTACTGGCAAGTGGTCAAATGTACATGGGAAAGGTACGAATGTTGCACGACGGTACGCGAAACGCACAAACACTTGATGATGGTCTTACCGACGTCATGATGCGCAAGCTCTTGACAAGCGACCGTGGCAGGTCAGAGGAGGCCGGAGATGGGCGGGTGGTGAAAGAATTTACGTCTGTTTTTTTATTTCTGGAAACGACTCAATGTACGATTGAAGCGCTAATGGATCTTGTGTTTACAAGTATGCGGTCTGTTGGTGTGTATTACCCAAGTGCTACTTATCAATCCCGAGCAGTGGACGAAGTGTTATACACCGAAGCGGATGGTGTAACGAAGTCGAGTATTTACTACACCGAATTAGTGGCTTCGATGGAGCCAGTTTTCGAGGCAATAGAGGACGATCACGAGATTAAAGTTGAGGCTCGTGTCATCACCAGAGAACAGCGTAGTCCGAATGGTGGGATGATTCTATGGGATTATGTAGACGATGACACGTTAAATCCATTGCCCTCGGATGCTCCAGGTCAAAAGATCATTTGCCGCAATGTATGCGGTGGCATGGTCATCCGCAAAGAGCCGGGGACTGGCATGATTTCCGTCCGTCACACTTCGATGAAGGCGTATTCTCCTTTACCAAAGGCCGAGATTGTATCCAATAAATTCGAAAACATTGACGCTGAAGAGGCTCGTCGAACTGTTACCCGACACATTGCACTTCAAGCTTCCGAATGCGACCGCTTGAGTGATCGATGCACTCGCCATGTCTACGACGACATAACAAGGCGATTAAACTTACGCACTGCATTTTGATGTGGACAAGTTTGTTCTTGTTTTTCTCTGTTGCGTAATTTAATAAAAGCTTTATACATGATAAAAAAGCAAAGAAAAGCATCAAAAGTAAAGGGAACGGCTGATTAATATATTGAATAGGAGAGGTTCAACCTAGATCATAGCACCAAGTAGGGCAAAACCTACAATTGCAGAGATAATCGAGACCGCACTAATCTGAACGGGAGATGTCGCACTACTGGTATCCTGGTTAGTGTCATTGTCACTGCTTGCAGGCGTTGACGACGCATTCGAGTTGGACTCGGAATCGTCAGAACCCGCCTCAGTCAAATTGTAAGAATCGGCAATACCAACACCGGCGGCGTTACGCTCAGCCACGGTAGCCAGAATCTCCTGAGGGCAGATGGCCGAGCAATTAAAACGTTTAACATCTGCAAGTTGTTTATCAGCAGCGTCGTTTTGAGCGATACAGGACATACAAGTGTGGCAGATTGAGGCGGGTTGGGTAGCTGTCGTATTAATCTCTTTGACGCAGTGAATTTTCTCGGCACAAATAGGGCCTTCTTCAGTCGACGTAGCAATGTATCCGTATACATCAGCGCATTGATTCTGGTCGCTACATTCGCCAAACTGCGGCACTGTGCCGGACGTAACATTCGGACTAACCGAATTTTGACACTTTTCAGTATCTTCAGCCTTGCATTGGCACAACTTCTTATCCTTTCCATTTTGCTTGCCTTGAGTCACACACTCAAGTTCATAGCCGTTGAGATTGGCGCAATTGTCATCACATTCAAGACTGAGAAATTGCAAGACGCATCTATCCGGATTGTATTCCGTGTTCATGAACGAAGTTGTACCTCCCTCGGCTTGCACGGTAACTCCATTGGTACCGACCGACATAAGACTGTCACTGTCTTGAGCCACGGCACATGAGGCACTTACTGCGAGCACGAGAAACGTTGTGTGAACCATTGCGGAGGTTGAGTGGCAGATCGAAGAATGAGCAGAATCTCGAATGAGGTGCCGAGTCGGAATTAACTGAGAATAAAGCCCGATGCTGGTCTTGCACCTGAACTATTATGCGAAAGAACTGACTCTGTCTCTACTCTCTGCCTGAGTAACTTAAAATTTGTATGATACGAAAAACTCAATTTCGTTTCATATTCTTTATCTTTTAGGGCTTGGGATCAGTTGGACCTCAATGAATGCTGAGCTTCTGCGATATGAGTGGTGTGCATAGCTTAACTAATAAAATTTGCTGTAAAAGAGTGGCAAATTACTGCTCAAAATTAGCGCAGATTTAGCTCAACCTTCAAGCAAAACGTGTAAGAAGACGAGCATCGCACTCATCTCTTAACGAAGAACTAGAATGTCTGTCACGACATGATTTTTGTGTCGAAATTATTCATCTGGTAAAATGAAGCGCGAAAACTTTGATTTTCTGAACACAGTGGCATTGTAGCCTTCGTCACTAATTCCATTCGAGTTTATCGAGTTTGTTAGCAAGTTACTTTTGCAGAGTTACCACTCAGATTAAGTATCCGAGACAGCACAGAAGTGGCTTATTTATAGCAGTCTCCAAAATGAATTATCATCAGTAACGTTTTGTAGCACGTTGTACTACCGAACTACTAGAGTCCCATTTCAAGGTAAAATTATGCGATCTGAGCATGTTAATACCAATAACGTCAACGGCAACAGCGTGCTACGCACGTGAGCTTGGGACTGATGTATCAGGTGCATTTTCAGTCTTTTCACTGTAGGCAGCCGGAAAATGAGTTCTCGAAGGAACATAATACGGCAATACTGACCAGGAAAGAGAAAAATGACAAGAAAGTAACTGGAAGTATTCTAATACGATTCGTTTCTCTTCGACCCAAAATTCGATGTAATAGAACATGCTGAACTCATGCTCTGTCTCAAGGTGCGACTGAGCTATTCTGGAAAAAACCAAGGGGCGCTCCAACCAAATTATGATGTCCAGGATTTGTGCCTATTTCTTGAAAAAGTGCCGAAAACTCAGGGAAAAGTGGTGAAGTGAGTCGTGTTAATGAGAGGGCGACGGTGATGTATGACTCACTGAATCATATTCTAGCCATTATGTTCGAGTGCATGTGCCATTCGACAGTTCTGCGAGCAATATAATCATTATTCCTACGAGATAGATCGTTACATATTTGGCACTAGTGAAAGTGGACTTGGCTGGATGAGTTGATTAGTATTAGAGATGCATGGCTTGCTAGGTGTTGCACATTCACTAGAGATACCAAGCAGCACATTTAGTTCAGCAGATCAAATCAAAATTCAGGATGGAAGCAAATGTCTTTTTAATCGCACAATTTGCAATGGTGTACCCTTACACCTTGCACAAGTGAAGATTTGGCTGAAAGATTCCACTGTTAAGTGGTAGGTGACTTAGTACTATTTTGCGCATATGTATCAATCAGAATCGACTGATACTAGATATTTTATTTTTAGGACCTCTCCCGACAAGTCCCACTGTCCTCGTACCTGAGTTGTACACATAAAATATTGAAACGAGGTTACACATACCCTGGTAACAGGTGTGTGTGTCACACCAGATGGGCATGGTGTGACA